CTAAACAGATGAACAGCAGCAGCAAAGAGGAGTGAACACCCCTCTGTCGCTCAGCAGCCCTGAGTGGCTGTGACAGGCTGGGCTCGAGACTTACCAGGTGCTTGGTGAGGTCCCAGTTGTGGATGACTCTGTCCAGAATCACTGAGGCATCGTCTTGGTGGCAAATGTCACAGTAATAGAGGCCAGAGAAGGCACAGAGCTCGGGTCGTACAAAGAAGAAGCCGATCTGCCAGAAGCAGCCTGGGGAGATGGGTAGAGAGTGAGTGGTGTGGCCAGAGTCAGCTCCTAGTAACTTGGGAGCTGCTGTGGTAGGAAGGATCTGTTAATTTTTTTTAAAGGTAGGCACAAAGACAAGAATAACCACCACTCACATTTCCACCACTCAGAACTCCCCCTACTAATTGATCTTTACAACAACACACTGTAAGAACTATCATTATTTTACAGCTGAAGAAATGGATGCTCAGAGAGGTTAGGAAATCTATCTGGTCACATAGTGATGAAGTGGCATGGCTGCATTCAGATCTGGGTTTGCCTGGTTCCTTGGTTTGCCTGCTTCCTGGGGAAGGCACACATGCTTGGTCTAATGCCCCCAGGCAGCCCCCGCACAGGGGCATAAGAGCTTCTGGGTGGTACACCAGAGGCAGATGGGTAGGTGACCAGGAGGGTCCCAGGTGGGTCCCATCTGCAGGGACCAGGCCTTTCAGAAGGCAGCTCTGAAGTCCTGTTTTCCATTGCTAAAGGGGCAAGGTGTTCCCACAAGTACTATAAAACCTCATTGCAGAATGTCATCATAATTGTGCTCATTCAGGGAAGCATTTCCAGAAAAGTACTATATTGTCTCAAAACTGCCTACAGAGGACAAAAATACTGTTTCACCTGTCAAATAGGAAAATATTTTCCTGAAAACTACTCTATGCAAGTGATGATTATAGAGAGCTCTTGATTCCACCTGTAGCTCAGATCTAATCCAACCCCATGAAGCCCCAGGTGTTTTAAATGGTCCTTCCAAAGGTCTTTACCCTCAGTAGTTGGTTTATGTAACAGCTCTGCGGGGCTTGTTCAGATCTGCTATTTGTTTTGTTTTTTGTTTGTTTGTTTGTTTTGAGATCGAGTCTCCCTTTGTCGTCGCGGCTCACTGCAAGCTCCGCCTCCCAGGTTCAAGTGATTCTCTTATCTCATCCACCCGAGTAGCTGGGATTACAGGCACCTGCCACGCCCAGCTGATTTTTGTATTTTTATGTTGGCCAGGCTGGAGGATCTGCTGTTTGTTTAATGTCCTCCAGTGTTTCCTTTTTTTTTTTTTTTTTTTTGAGACGGAGTCTCAGTCTGTCACCCAGGCTGGAGTGCAGTGGCAGGATCTCGGCTCACTGCAAGCTCCGCCTCCCGGGTTCAGGCCATTCTCTTGACTCAGCCTCCCGAGTAGCTGGGACTACAGGCACCCGCCACCTCGCCCGGCTAGTTTTTTGTATTTTTTAGTTTTAGTAGAGATGGGGTTTCACCATGTTGGCCAGGCTGGTCTCGAACTCCTGACCTCAAGGCCGATCTGCCTGCCTCAGCCTCCCGAAGTGTTGGGATTACAGGTGTGAGCCTCCACACCCAGCCTTTTTTTTTTTTTTTTTTGGGACAGAGTCTTGCTCTGTCACCCAGGCTGGAGTACAGTAGTATGATCTCAGCTTGCCGCAACCTCTGACTCTTGGGCTCAAGTACCTCGGCTTCCCCAGGAGCTGGGATTACAGACGTGCACCACCACACCCAGCTGATTATCGTGTTTCCAGTAGAGATAGGGTTTCGCCATGTTGGCTGGTTCCAGAGCCTGCGTTCTGCTCCATTACCCCTTGCTGCGTGTGTCTAGTGTCCCTGCTGCTGGCTCAGCAATGCCAGCCTCCTCTCGGTCCACCCCTCCACTCGGGCCCCAGAATGGAAGCAGCAGAGTAGGGGCTATGGCGAGCAATGAAGTGGCTGGGGGACAGGGGCTGGGGTCAGGGCTGGCCATAGGGAGTGGACAGGAAGCCGGCAGGGGGCAGGGCAGTCTGCACAGTGTCTGATGCCTCAGGACTGTGGGGCAAGGCTGGCTTCGGCACCCCGTGGTTGGATAGTTCTTACGGTGTAGAGATGTCTCCACAGCGGGGGCCCGTGGGAGCAGCCAGTGGGTGTGTCCTGGGCAAAAAGCAAAGGCCCTGACTCAAGTCCTGAACACGTGCCCTGTCTCCCCCAGGGGCAGGCAGAAGGGTCCCCGGACCTTGGGACCAGAGGGCGGGCTCTGCTGCTCACTAGTTGCCTTACCCTGACCTTCACCTAATTTCTTCAAGCTTCCATTTCAGTGTCTGTAAAATTCGGCTACTACCAGCTATTTTGTGGGGTTATTACAAAGCTTAAATGAGGAAAGGTTCTGCAAGTACCCTGCGAATTATGAAATACAACCCAGATGCCAGTGGTTGGTGTCTGCCACTGAGCCGTGCCTGCTGGGTAGAAAGAAAACCCAAACCCCCTTGTCTCTAAAAACAAAAACAAAAAATAAAAACAAAAACAAAACCCCACAGAACTCCAGACCGACTCATCAGAGTAGCTCATGAGAGGAAACTATGGGGTGAGACCACCACTTCTGCTGTCCTTCCCAGCTTCTCTTCCACCTCCCCTTTTCCCTAGTTTATAAGACAGGAGAGAAGGGGGAAAGCCAAAAGTTGGAAAGAAACAAAAGTAAGATAAATAGCTAGACGAACTTGGCGCCACCACCTGGCTCTGGTGGTTAAAATAATAATGATATTAACCCCTGACCAAAACTACTAGTGTTATCTGTAAATTCCAGACACTGTATGAGAAAGCACTGGAAAACTTTTTGTTCTGTTAGTTGATGTATGTAGCCCCCAGTTAAGTTCCTCATGCTTACTTGACTTATGACCTTTTCACGTGGACCCTTTAGAGTTGTAAGCCCTTAAAAGGGCTAGGAATTTCTTTTTTCGGGAGCTCGGCTCTTAAGACGTGAGTCTGCCGACGCTCCCGGCTGAATAAAAAAAACCTCTTCCTTCTTTAATCCGGTGTCTGAGGAGTTTTGTCTGCCGCTCGTCCTGCTACAAAACCAGTTTTCCAACTTTGCTTTGTAGAACTGAATGGCTCTAGAACTGAATGGAGCTTGGTGAATAGTCAAGAAACTATACAGTCAGGTTCCGTGCAGAACTGCTTTGTCTGAGCTCAGACACGAGGTCATGCTGCTGGCCTTCATCACAGTAATGCTACCTGAAGCAGCCCCGTTAAACCTCCCTGGAGCTGTTTTGCGGGGTACCTGCCTGTCCTTCTAGATCCCATGTTCATGGAGCTACACACAAGAAATTTAAGAGCGAAGGGTTAGGAAAAAGCTTTGATTCCCTCAACATCTGGGTGGGTTTTATTAATTTTTCAGCAACAAAGAGACATGCACCTGATAGCCCTTCTCTTTTCACCTTACCTAGCAGGAAAGTCAGAGCTAAATTTTCTTCAGCAACCACCACCTTAGCACCTGTACATCATCTGCCCCCTAATTCCTCTCCGTCTTGAGTCCCGTCTCTAACTTGCTTTTTGTGGTCCTGGCTTTTCAGTGAATTTGCCAGTTCACCACGTGTGTTTCTGTTGTGATCTGCCTCAAACCTTCTAGGGACTGAGGTCAGGGTAAGAGTAGTTTAAAAACAAGACAACACATGGACAGTGAAGGGTGTGGCCTTGGGCGTACCCTTCCTGCGGGGGTAACCTGGTAGTCTTGCCCACTGCCCCGGTTTATTCACTGCGGATGCAGTCCAGTCGGAAATGGGGCTCTGGCTCGGGGCAGGGAAGGGGATCTGGGGAGAAAGAGGTTTCCCAACCAGGCCTGTCACAGTAAGCAGCCAAGGACACGGAGCCTCTTGTCTCTCTCAGGCTGGGACGAGGGCTGCCATTCTAGGCATGAGAATTTCTTCTCCCAGAGGCCCTACTCCTCACCACCCTCCAGGGCAAGGATTATTAACTCAACTCCTGGAGAGGGAACTGCAGAATCTGTGATGCTAGAAGCACAGGATAGGTCCCCTCGGGGGCCCAGCGTTGGCTTGAGCCCCGAGAATGGTAGCCCCAGTTCTTCCCAGGTCCTCCTTCTTGGGGCTTGCCTACAGTAAGGGTCCCAGAGCACTGCCAACAACTGCACCAGTATCACCTCTCTGGCTCTGGATTCCTACCTCTATTAATACAGCCAAAAGCTGCACTCAGTGTTGGCTCATAGAGAATTAAGGGTCAAACCCCGCCAGGTCATTTCCAGGTCAATAGTCGTCAGAGGGCCGGCAGGCATCACTAAGCCCCTTCCCTCCTTCTCCCCACCCCCGCCACTCACTTCCAGCACATTCTTCCTTCTGGATTTGTCTTTGGGGGCCCGAGAGAGTGGCCCCCCTCAGCTCCACTGTGTACTCGGGGGTGGGAAACTTGGAAGGCTGCCTCTGTGGGAGAGGGAGGAAGGTCACAGGGAGCCCTCAGCCCAGATGTGTCTGCTGTGGCACTCTGACCCTAGGAATAGGATGGGGTCACTGGCGTGGCCAGGAAACAACTCTGGGGGAAGGAGCCCCGAGGGTTCCTCAACCCAGAGACCCTAACCTGTGAGGCCCAGAAGGAGGGAGCATTAGCCAGAGCAGTCCCTCCCTCATCTTAGCATGGTTGGGGAGGGGCAGCGACCCTCGCCATTAGAGGGAGAGTGGGTTAGGGAGTCAGATAAACTGGGTTCAGAGCTTGACTGTACAAGTTGGGTGACCCTAGCCAAATCCCCTCATCTCCCTGAGCGTCAGTTTCCCCATCTGTAAAATGAAGATAGCCCCTCAGGTAAGTGAGCGGGTCATGTGGCACCTGGCCGGGCAGTGCTCACTAAACAGCCATTCCTTCCCATCCCCAATGCCTGGTGGTACCCCCAGATCTGCAGACAGGACCTGAAATTTCTGACGCAGATCTGGGCCCAGCCCCTCATCAACCTGCAGATGGTGAACGCATCTCTGAACGAGCATGTGGAGCGGATGCACCTCATTGGGAGGAGTTGGGAGCAGCTGAAGCTCCTGGGGGATTACCTGGGCCTGTGCCGGAGCGGCGCCCTGAAGGAGCTCAGCAAGAGGTGAGCAACCTCTACGTGCATGCACACGAACACACACACACGTACACACAGACACACATGTACACACACCCACGCACATAAATGTACACACAAATACACAGACATGCACACACATGCACATGCGCACAAATGCACACACATACAGGCACTCGTGCACACGCGCACACACACACACGGGCAGTGCCCAGGGCAAGGTGTCCACCTGGAGGAAACCTGGGCAGAGATCTTCCCATTGGGCCTGGGAAATGATCACATTTTTTGTGGATGATTTTGTTGGGGTTTTGTTCATGTATCCATGTGCTCATTCAAAAACATGGACTGAGAACATACTAAGCTCTGCACATCTGGCGAGGCGTGTGGGCTGCAACACTAAGCAGGCCAGAACCAGGGCTGACCCTCCAGAAGCCTCTGAACTGGCAGGGAAGACAGGTGGGAAAGCCAGAACTCCATCAGGGGCTGAGGGTGAGAGGGGAGACAGGTGGGAAAGCCAGAACTCCATCCGGGGCTGAGGGTGAGAGGGAGACAGGTGGGAAAGCCAGAACTTCATCCGGGGCTGAGGGTGATAGGGAGACAGGTGGGAAAGCCAGAACTCCATCCGGGGCTGAGGGTGAGAGGGGAGACAGGTGGGAAAGCCAGAACTCCATCCGGGGCTGAGGGTGAGAGGGGAGACAGGTGGGAAAGCCAGAACTCCATCCGGGGCTGAGGGTGAGAGGGGAGACAGGTGGGAAAGCCAGAACTTCATCCGGGGCTGAGGGTGAGAGGGGAGACAGGTGGGAAAGCCAGAACTCCATCCGGGGCTGAGGGTGAGAGGGAGACAGGTGGGAAAGCCAGAACTCCATCCGGGGCTGAGGGGGATAGGGAGACAGGTGGGAAAGCCAGAACTCCATCCGGGGCTGAGGGTGAGAGGGAGACAGGTGGGAAAGCCAGAACTCCATCCGGGGCTGAGGGTGAGAGGGAGACAGGTGGGAAAGCCAGAACTCCATCCGGGGCTGAGGGTGAGAGGGAGACAGGTGGGAAAGCCAAAACTCCATCCGGGGCTGAGGGTGATAGGGAGGTGGGAAAGCCAGAACTCCATCCGGGGCTGAGGGTGAGAGGCAGGCAGGACGTCCTGGAGGCACAGAGGCTTGACATCTAGCCCAGATCAGAGGAGGACAAAGCAGGAAGGACTTCCTGGAAGAAGTGACTTCTAAGGTGAGACCTGAAAAATGAAGAATTAGAAAGGGGAAGCAAAGGGGGAAAAAGCATTCCAGACAGAAGGAATAGCACGCATAGGCCATGAGCGAAGGCACCGGTGGAAAGCCCAGGGAGAACTTTGGCGACAGTGTGGAGGAAAGCGAGGAGTCCGGTGAGAGGCAGGCAAGGGCCAGATGTTCCTGCCTCTTCCCTGTCCAGCTCGTCGTCTGGCCCATGGCAGCCTCCCGCCTGAAATTCTCCAAAGAGGACACGATCGGGGCGAAGCCCTCAGGATGCCCTTCCGGAAGCTTCTCTTACCCAGGGCCTCAGGCCTTTGGTGCTCAGGAATGGGATGTGATGCCGGGCTTCAACAGGGACTCAGGCCTCTCCGTGCCTGTCATAAATGCTTCTTAGTCCTCAGGTCACAGCCCAGGCCGCAGTCTTCCCAGGGCTGTGCTCTCCTGGCACCCTCAGGAGGGCAGACCTCATGTGGAGCAGGCTGCCAGTGCCTACTGCCCAGCATGGGCTTCGAGTCCGCCTCTTCTGGGTTTCTGGGGGCAGGGACCAGCTCACAAGCCCCTCCAGGTTCCTCCGTCTGGCCTTCCCTTGCCACAGGGCTGGCCTAGAGACCGCCTGTCTGAAGACTGCCTCTTCCATCCTGGCTGCAGTGCTCCCAGAGCCGGGCCTCCTCAGGACCAGGGTGTGCCCCGAGCAGGTCCCCAGGGGCTCTCAAGGGGTGCTGCAGGGGGCTGTCCCCTAGGCAAAGAGGAGAATCTGGCCCCACAGCTGCCAGCTGAGCCTTGGTCTCCTCTGCAGGGCCTGAAAAAACAGAAAGCCCTCCGGGGACCACCACATAGGGTCTATGTGGGACCCTGGACCCTAGAAGGCTTCACCCCTGGAGGCTCTGCCCATCCCAAGCATCCGCGGGTGACTGGGTCTCCACCTCTTGGCAAGCGCTGACTCTCCCTACCTCTGAGAGTCCAGAGAGACTGTCCTCCTGCCCACCTAACCAGGTGCTGAAATCTCTGGGGTCAGGCGGGGCCTCATCACCCTCCTTGGTCAAGGAGCCAAGTACCTGCACAGGCCTGCAGACCTGTGTAGACCAGGTGCCTGTGGGGTGGGTTGTGGGCCCCATTCACCCGTCCCCGCCCTGCTGAGAGAGTTTGTTCATTGGCTTTGCTGACCTGTCTGCGGGCACCAGGGGCAGCCCTGTCGCTCTCTCCCTGGCCCTCCTGCTCCGTCCCTGGGCAGCAGCGCTGTACTCCTGCCATGTGCTCAGCCTGCTGCGGGAAGGGCCGTGCCTGTGGAAGTCCCATGGAAACAGCGTGGGGCAGGGGAAACAGTATGGGAGCCCCTCACCCACTGTGCGTCAGGAAAGTTGCTTCACTTCTCTGGGTCCAGCTTTCCCATCTATAAAATGGGCCAGTGATTCCTCCATTCCTGTGGCCTCCTGAGTAGTGGTGAGGGCTGCGTGAGGGACCCAGAGTCTGGGCCACAGATGGCGCTGGGTCAGCATCGTGTGTGCCCTGAGGGCACCTGATCCAGCCTTGGCAGGGGCCAGAGGAGCTCCCAGAGGAGATGGCATCTGAGCTGAGGGCACGCAGAGTTCTTTTCCTTTTTTCTTCTAAAATGTTTTTCTTCTTTACAAAGGTCAATCTTCCAAGGGAGGAAAATTTATGAAAGGGAATAAAGCAGACCATTCAATCAGCCCTTCTCAGAGCCCACCACCACCTGCTTCTGCACCTCACGTGTTGCCACAACACAAGTGACATCGTGTGTCTATTGAACTGGGGCTTAGAAAAACGAGGGAAGAGCAGAAAGGGCAGGGGAGAACCTGGCTTTCCTGGCTAAGGGACCAGTAGCAGCAGGCGGGCAGGAGCACAGCTCACCGAGGCCCTAAGGGGCTCTGGGCAGCTGGGCTTCGGGTGCAGGGCCCAGAACTCAAAGGGCCCTCGACGACTTTGGATTTGATCTGCCACCTGTGGGGAACCATTGAAGGGTTGTGAGCACGGGGCTGTCACTTCTGATCAGCGGCTTAGAAAAGGCCACTCTGAAAAGACCAGGTGCAGTGGTTCATGCCTGTAATCCCAGCACTTTGAGAGGCCAAGGTGGGCGGATCACCTGAGGTCAGGAGTGTGAGGCCAGCCTGGCCAACGTGGCGAAACCCCATCTCTACTAAAAATACAAAAATTAGCAGGGTGTGGTGGCTGGCGCCTGTAATGCCAGCTACTAGGGAGGCTGAGGCAGGAGAATCGCTTGAACCCAGGAGGCAGAGGTTGCAGGGAGCCAAGATCATACCACTACACTCCAGGCTGGGAGACAGAGCAAGATTCTGTCTCAAAAACAAAAACAAACAAACAAAAAGACCATTCTGGCCCCAGTGGAGTGCAGTAGGTGAAGGGGAGAGCCCTGGGTGGCGGCTGGTGTAATTAACCCAGGGAGCTGGGGCTGGACTGAGTCAGCTAGAGGGGAGATTGAGAGGAGGAGAGGGCTGAGGCATGGGCAGGTCTTGGATGTGGGACAGGAAGTCAGGGAGGAGCTGTCCGGCACTAGTGGCAGCTGCCTGGCCGGGTTCTCTCCGGCAGACCTCGGACATGTGTCCAAGGGCCAGAGAAGCCCCTAAGAGTGTCCTCTCCAGCCCTTGAGAGGAAGCCATCACAGAAATGCCCCACACCCTGTCCACCCACCAGACCTCAGTGTCCCTCCCGACAGCCAGGGAGTGGTGGGCAGAGGAGGAGTCGGGGCTCAGGAGACAGGTGGGACCCAGGTCCCCCATCCATGCGCCCCTGATCTTCCAGCCCTTGCCTGGCCCTTTCTTTCCCTGTCACTTCATCGGTTCCAGGAGCTAAGATTCGACCTCTCCCCTCATCTTCCTCTCTCCAGATTTCTCTGGTCTCTTTCTCAGGTAGCCAGCCTCACACCAGAGGACAAAGAGGGTTCTCATTGTGTGGGTGGAGAAACTGAGGCCCCAAGTAGGCCTGACTGTGCCCCGGTGCACCAGAGTTTCTCTCCTGGAGGCCAGGAGGGGAAGTGACTTCTCGCCCCTGGGTCAGTGCTCTCTCCCCTCTGGCCTTGACTGAGCACTGCAGAGAAACCAGTCGCAAGTCCTTGCTGAGAGGGTGACAGGCCCAGGACACAGGGGCTCCCAGGGCTTCCACGACTGTGGTCAGAGGACAGATGGCAAAGCTAATTCTCCATCCAGATCAGCCCACACTCCTGCCAGCTCAGGGCCAACCTGTGTCCCCCCAACCCGCTGTGTCCCATGTTTTCTTGGTAACAAATGGCAGCTTCCCTTCCTAGAGTGCAGGAAGTTTAGTGGGGACACCAGCATGGTAAACCAAGAGGCCAATTGGCATCTTGGCCTTTGTGGCTGCTTGATGGGACTCACCATCTCTACCCCAGATTGGGCTCTCCTGGACCACAGCTGAGGCCACCAGCTGGGACAAGGCCAAG